TACATGAATTAATTCTTCTCTAGTTTGTTTAACAATCCCTATCATCCTAGAGTTTCCCTCTTTTTATCCACCTGCTTGCCAGATACTGTACTTTTATCTTAATTTTTATTTTAATGTACACATTCCTAAGTGAGAGAAGGATATGCAATCTCCTATTATGAGGTTTCAGCCTCTGAAAACCCACTGGAGGGTCAGCTATGATCAGTGTCATCTCAATGGTACACAGCAACAACAACAGCATCATCATTCCTAAAATTGAAAATTGTAAATATATTCCTTGTTAATGGTAATTTCAAAAGAAATGTTTTTATTTTTGCCTTTGAAAATGAAGAAATATGAGATCAAAACAGATTTAAGGAAAAAAAGCATAAATATAACTTCTGATAGAATTAAAATTAGGATCTGTAACACTCAAGCTACTAGAGAAGATAAAAGCAAACAAGAATATTCTACAAAATAAAGCAGAGAACAAAGTAAAGAGTAAGAAAGCATAACATGAGATGATAAAAGCAGGAACAACCTATTAAACATATTTAGGTGTAATGTTTATACTAAAAGAGAGAAATTGGGTCTTAAAATAGAATTAAAATATATGCTTTTTATAAGAATAACATAAAAAAGAAAGCAACATAAAAAATAGAATTAATGGGTAGGCAAGCACTTCTCAAATGAAAGCTGTAGTTGTTAGGTGCTGTCGAGTTGACTTCAGCTCGTAGTAACCTGGCAAACAACAGTGCAGGAACTTGCCCTGTCTGAGTCATTGCAAAAAGAAAATAATATAGGTAAAAGGAAAATAAATTAATAGACAAACACTCTTAAAGGAAAGCAGTGGTGTTAGTATTAATTTCAGACAAGATAGAATTAATTCATTGAATAAAGAAGATCCTACAAACTTTATATTACCAAACTTTAAATATGTTCAAATAACAGTATTTATCAGAGAATGTGTAATTAATTAAAAAATAGAAAACCCCAAATATAACAATATTCATTTCTTAAAGTATCAACAAGTTAAAAATATTAGGTGTTTTTGTGTTTTAACTAGTGAAATCCCTGTAGACTTTTTTTGTAGGGAAAATATCTAAAGCTTTGGTAATTGTCCCAAAATATATATTGAAATAATTCTCTGAATCATTTCTCTAAACTAATAGGATTCATGTCAGCCATGTAAGAATTGTCTAACATCCTGCCCCATTCTCACAGTTGCTCATGTTCAAACCATTGTGATAGTCACTGCAGATGGTGGAGGCTAGGGCAGGGTTCACATCTCCTGTTCTTAGGGTGCTATAGTACATAGTTACATAGTATGTAGAGCATATAGACTATAGTACATATAGTCAACTCACCAGCACCCCACAGACCACAACACCACTACATGGTCAATAGGAACCCTATCGTCTCATCTTGTTGAATACATAACACACAATAAACTTAATACTTAGTTCTCATTTTTTAAAAAGTAATGTAAAAGTAGACACAGAAGTTGGATTGTGCTACTGACCCACAGACCACTCTTCTCTGGTAATTCAAATCCACCAGCCACTCCTCAGAAGAAAGATGGGAAATATCCCATTTGAATTACAGCTTTGGGAAACCAGTGGAGGACCTGTTATGAATTAGTTCTAACTGGAGGGCAATGGCTAATAAATGAGGCATAAAATAAAATGAAAAGCATCTACTTACAACCAAGATGCAAGATAAACAACACATACATTCCATAAATTTTAGAAATCCAGTTTCTGATCATTGCGTAAGAGATACATAATTGTTTGACATTTTACAATCTACAATATTTACATGAGTAAATTAAAAGTCAAATAATGGTGAATATTAAATGTGGGCATAGATATAAAAGTAAGAAAAAATTAGTATATTTTCCAGTGGTTACTTTGGTCTTTTATAGCATCCAAATTCAACTTTTATGTTAGTACAGATAAAAACTGAAACAAATTTTTTGAAAAAATTTTCCCACAACAGTCTTATTTTACAGCATAGCCAAAAAACAAGTTCTCTGGTGGTTACAATCCGTTGGTGGCTACATAAGAGAAAAAGATGGGCAGTCTTGTCCCATGCTTTCTGCAGCTTCGGAAACAGCTCAACAACCATGAGCTTAATTTGGTTTTATATTTTATATGTGTTGTTATTAAGTGGAACTGTTTTTAATTGGCTTTTTTTTCATTTCAGAAGTAGTAGATCTTAAAAACTTTATACTAAGTGAAATAAGTCAAAGACAAGTGTTGTATGCTCTCACGCATATGAAAAATCCAAAATAGGCGATGCATAGAGACAGCACTGTCTCAGTGGCTGCCAGAGGTGGGAAGGAGGGAAGAAAATAGAGAATTATTACTGAGTATTATATTTTTGTAATGGAAAACTCACAGTCCTTAAGGGAGGGTTGCACAACTGATTCTTATAATAGCTGTCAATAAGTTGTATACCTGAAAAAAGTTGAATTGGCAAAAATTTCATGATAGACATATTTACAAAAACAGCAGAAGGCCACTGTGGAGACTGCCTATGTACAATCAAGCACCTCATGGGATTTGTATCCTTGGCTTGGACGATTATGGTTATGTTTATGAGACATTTGCATTAAGAGTGTGGTTAGTGGTTCTGTTCTGCCTTCTGGCTTGTAGTGTAGTTCCTGGAGTCATAAAGTTTGCAAGCAGCCATCCATGGCCTCTTCATTCATTTGGAGGAACAGAGAAAGGAGAATTAAGAGTAAGGAAAATGTGGCTCATTACCTTCATGAGCAGATACCCCTTTGCCACAAGACCTGACTGAATGGTGCTCAGCCACCTTTATTGAGCGTTTTGATGAAAAACTCAACAGAAGAACCTTGATCAAAAGTGAGAAAATAAATTTAAAATTCTTCCAGACTCCAGACTTTATTGAGCCCTGGAGGCTGAATGAACCCGTGAAACTATCACCTTATTATAATTTGAACCAAAGCTATCCCCTGAAGTCTTCTCCAAACAGGACAACAGGTTAGCTTGGTGAAGAATAAAAAAAAAAATCTCTCTCCTGGATATAACACTTTTTAAGAACTCAATATAAGATGAAGTTGATCAAAGCAACTTGAATGATTGGATAAGATGTTTAGGGAACGATGAGTTTATGTCATGGTGGAAAAGCAACTCAGTGTCAATAGCAGAGGAAGAGAAGAATAAGAAAGGTTGCAGGATTCATGTGATCATTGACATTATTGTGCATTTAGAAACTGTTTAGTTGGCTTGTGTATTGCTGTATATATTATCAACATAATTTTTATTTGCTCTCTTAATATTTTTCAGGATTACTTTTTTTAAGCATATAGTCAAAGTTGGCTGAACTATTGTATTAAATTAGTAATTTCTGTTTTGCATTTTGTCTCACATAAATCTATGCTTCAGAAGTATTCAGATTTCTTACAGTATTTTTGGTCTGAGTATGTTTGTCCATCATCTTGCCATGCTCACAGTTTGCCCTCTATACATCCAGAATATGGTGATGATGACGATAATACATGGATTAATAATAATTAATAGTTTTATTTCTCTTTTTTCATATTAGAGAAATTTATTCTTTAACTTTAATTCTAGTTGTTTTTTTACTATTCTTTTTCACTGTTGTACATTTTCTCCCCTCCTCCCCCAGTCTACCCCTCAATGCACCCCTTGTTCCAGATTGTTGTCATACATACAATGTCGAATCATATATTCCTTTTGGACAGTTCCTTCCCTCTTCTATTCTACTGCAGTGTTCATTATCCATGCCCTCTATTTCCTTTCTGTCCCCAACCCCCCATGTTTGTCCATTTATTTTGTAGCAGCAGTATTATGCAATATTTGTCCTTTTTTGACTGAGATATTTCACTTAGCATAATGTCTTCTAAGCTCACCCATATTGTGGAATGTTTTATCAGTTCATTGTTTTTCAGTGCTACTTAACATTCCATTGCGTGAATGTACTATAGTTTTCCTATCCATTCATTTGTTGATGGACACTTGGACTGCTTCCATCTCTTTCCTATTGTGAATAATGCAGAAAAAAAAATAAAATAAAGATGGCTTTGCATACTTACATATGTCTGACTTGTGGCTCTGGTTTCTTTAGGATATATTGCCAATAGTGGAATTGCTGGGTCAAATGATATTTCTATTTCCAACTTTCTTTTCTCAAAAAGAAAGCACCAGACTGCTTTCCATAGTGGCTGTACCATTTTACGTTCCCACCAGCAGTGAATAAGAGTTTCTACTCTCTCTGAAACCTCTCTAGCATTTGTTGTTTGTTGCCCTGTTGAACTTTGCTATTGTTCTGGGGTGAGGTGCTATCTCATAATTGTTTTGATTTCTTTCTCTCCATGTCACTTGAGGTTTTGAGCATTTCTTCATGTGTGTGTTTACCATCTGAATGTGTTCTTTAGCGAAGTATCTATTCATATCCTACACCTATTTTGTGATAGGGTTGTTTATCTATTTCTTCGTGAAGTGCTGGAATATTCTATAAATTTTAGGTATAAGTCCCTTATCAGCTGTGTGATTACTAAATATTTTTCCCAGCCTGTAAGTTTCCTCCTTACTCTGTTAGAGAAGTTTTTTGATGTGCATAGGGATTTGAATCTTAGAAGATCCCACATAGATTTTTTTATTATGCTTGAAAGACTGTTCATGCTGTGGTTGAGGGTTTCTAGAGGTGTAGCAGACATTTAGGAAGGACTGTTACTGTCGGTCACTGGTCAAAATTTACTTTATTAGTTCACTTGATCTCATAGGTGTTGTTATCTGTTTTACAGATGAGAAACTTAAGCATAGACTGGTTAAATAACTTACCCAAAGTGACATGGCTAGTAGAAGGATGGCTGATTACTCAAACATGAGAAATTATTTGCATTTTCTGTGTATTTCCACTTAGTTAATAATATTCTTTCATAGTTTTATAGCTCAGGGATTATTATTCATTGCCACACTTATTCATTCTAATGTCATTAATATCAGTGAATACTTTTTTGTTGTTTCTAGGATGGACATTCTGAAATTTTATACACATTTTGGAATTCAGTTAGTCAAGCACTTTCTTCTCAATTTCAGACAGCAACAAATTGTAAGTATTTGGTAAAAATAAAAATTGTTTTACATTGTTTTGCTAAATTTCATCTCAGAGTTTAATTTTTTTAGATTTTATGTCAAGAATTTTACTTTATTGTTTTGGGAAGCATCTTCTTTTTATCTTTTTTACCCCAAACCAATTGCCAGTTCTTCTCTGTATTTAACTTAGGTTTTCTTAGCTATATCTTTATATAAGTAGTTAGTTTTAGAAACCCTAGTGGTGCAGAGGTTAAAGTGTTGCACCAGTAGCCCACAAGGTCATCATTTCAAAGCTACGAGCTTCTCCTTGGGAAAAAAGGTGTGAGAATTTGCTTCCGTACAGCTGTATGCCCTTGGAAGCCGTGAGAGGCAGTTCTCCACTGTAAGGTCACGATGATTGGAATCACAGGGAGTTTTGTTTGATTTGCGAAGCCTTTGCTTTATATACCTTTTCAATTAGAATTTAGAATGAAAGTCTCTAAAATAAGAAGTTAATCTTTCGTAATCCAAAAATGGAAGAACTCTGTCAGGATTTTTCTTATGTATGAAATGGAAAGCAATTGATATTAAAACTTTGGCAGTGCTTCTAGAGTTATTTAAATTCCTGAGCAAGAGATATGAAAATGCTGATTTTATTGTTTTTTCCTTAATGTTAAAAATGAAAATTTGATGAATGAGCAGATGAAATATCAGTATCATAAATTCAGTTACTTATCCAAATATGATGTACAAATTTTTTTTTAAATGACACTCATTTACATGAATGCTTTGTAGACATGTTTTTAGGGTTTTTTTTTCACTCTTGGATAAGTATGTAAGAGTGAAATGACCTGACCATGTAAGTGTTTAACTTTATAATTTTTTTTAAAAACCTTCCAAACTATTTTCTAAAATGAATGTATCATTTTTAATCTCAGTAATATATGAAAAGACAGTTGCTCGAAATCTTTGACAGTTCCTCCAAATCCTTGACAGTCCATAATATTGCCACTCATTTTAATTTGAGCTGTTTTACTGGATGTACATTCATTTTTCATTATGATTTTAAGTTCTAGTAAGTAGCCTAGAAACTAATTAATGATGGGACTTTGCTTCTGGTTAATTCTAACTTATGATGGCCTCATGTTACAGGGCAGAGTGACTGTGTTATATTTTCTTAGTTGCAGTTTTTACAGAAGAACATCATTTGATCTTTCTTCCCCAAAGGCAGATTAGAACAGCCAACCTTTAGGTTAGCAGCTCATCACAGATATATTGTACCACCCAGAAACCTACAACAGCTTCCTAATTATGAAATCCAGTGAATGATTTTGTTTATATTTTATGGGCACTTTATTTATGTTTATTTATTTTATGTTTATATTTTATGTCTGGTTTATATAGTCAAAGAATTTACTGAGAATGAAGAGAATCTTTTTTTAGAAAGAAAATCCCTTTAACATTATGCTTTCAGAGTCATCTGTTACTTTTGATAACATTATTACTTTAATGACTTCCTTTGGGAAAACTCCAAAGTAAGTTGTTTGTAAAGCACCTTCCATTTTTATAGCACATAGAGTCCCTGAAGTGTACTGTCGTACCTCTTCAAATTGAAGCTAGGCAGTGTCAAGGAAGTGTATCCATCTGCACAGATGAAGATTGCATACAGAGTAACAGATTGTCTAAGCAAGTAATATTTTGGCAGAAAATATCCAAAGGGAATTTTTTGGGTTAGGAGCATATTCCTTCTGATTGTTAATGTTCTCATTTATCTGAGCTTTGACAATGACTTCAACTGTATTTTATAAGTAAAAAAGACCCTACTTGATCACCATAAAATTTAAACTAGTTCCTATAGGAAGTCTACAGTTGAAATGGTTCTTTTCGAAATTTTTTGTACACCTCTTCCTGTTATTTTATTTTTTTTTTTTGTCAATGCAGTTTTCAGAAAATAATATTGGATCATCATCATCTGTTAAAATAAATGTTTTTAAACTTTTTTCCCCAACTTATTTTTTGGTGTAACTTGAGTGAACATTTACAGAACAAATGGTTTTGCATTCAACCTTCATACACATTTTGTTCAATGACATTAATTGAATTGTCATCCTCACACTTAACAGCACTCTTTCCAAGTCTCTATTTAATGTCTCCATTTAACTTAATACCCTGAGTCTTCCTGCCTTCTGAGCTTTATGCTACCTTTCTAGGTAAGTACCACTCCTCTGCCTTTGTGTGGTGGTTAATCTAAGGAGTGAGTAGCCCTGAGTGTTATTGTTATTATTGTTTGCCTTAGGAGTCCTGTCTCTTGTTTGGCCAAAAGTTGAGTCATAGGCATGGGTTCTGTCCTGGGTTTTCCATCAGACCCTGTAAGTCAGATCAGCAAGCTTGCGATTGCACTGATGTTGCGTTTTATTCCGTGTTTGTCTCACACTCTATCCAGACTTTTACTGTGATCCTTTTTAGAGCAGTTGCCAATGGTAGCAAGACACCAATCTGATTATTCTTGTCTTTGCTTCACGGAGATTGACGTTCACTTAGTTCATTAATCCTTTGGGCTAATTATCTATGCACCTCTGAGTTTCTTTATTTTATTTCAAACAGGGCAAGACTCTAGTTTCACCTTAGGTGGCACCTAAAAGCTTATCAGATATCAATTAGTACTTATCAAATTGGATGTAAAAGCATAGTCTACAAAGCATGTCCTTGTTTAGCATGCTTTGATGTTCTCCATAGCTGTGGCCCTGAGGCCTTAAGACCAGCAATTTATTCTTATGACTCCAGTTTGAATAAGAGAACATGCTTTATATGACTTGAAGCCTTTTACCAATATGCTGTCTTGTTTTATAGCACCAAGTATTGTGCAATTTGATAAATAATCGATGTACTTTTCAAAAGAGCACTTATTATGCTAATAGTAATATAATAATAATAATAATAATAGTATAAATGTCAATGCCGTTAGATGTTAGTGTTGTTCAGACCTTTTTGCCTGTTGATTTTTCTTGTACTTGTTGAAGCAATCTCAAAGGCATAGTTGCTTCGTGGGAGAGGGATGGGCAGTTTCTTCCCATGCAATTTAATGCCTCTGAAAACCTGCTGAAGGGTTATCTGATCTGTCAGTCAGTTGTGACTCCATGACACATACAGCAACAACACAATCTATTACTGAGAGAGGCAGTTAATATCCTTAAATGTACTTGTATAAAAAATAAACATTTGTTTGCTATAGTTTATGTTATTTATTTAATCCTTCTTTCGGTGTTTTTTTGTTTGTTTGTTTTTTGCTTAACAGCCTCTATGTTTTTGAAACAAGCATTTGAAGGAGAATACCCTAAATTATTACGTCTTTACAATGATTTGTGGAAGCGTCTTCAACAATACAGTAAAAATATTCAAGGGAATTTTAATGCTAGTGGACCTACAGACATCTGTGTTGACCTGCAGCAGTTGGAAGATGATATACAAGATATGTTCATACAAAAAAAGCCAGATTATGAGTATGCTTGTTTAATTAATTTTAATTTTATTATCTATTATGAATGTTTATCTTTTTTTGCTAAGTTAGAAACTGGAAATAAACTAATCATATAAATGCTTGTTATTAATTTTTATATCATGAAAGGCTTTTTATAAGTTTTACCTGAAGTAGTCAAGCATCCACTTGGTTGAGCTTTGTAGTTCTTGGTAGTGTTCAAGTATAACACCAGATAGATAGGGTGACTAGAATCTAGGAGATGATCCTATGTAATTATTGTCCTCTAAATGATATTGTGTTAGACTTGTAGTTACAACAGATAGCATCATTATTGAGGGGTCACTGGCATAAATGTGACATAAAGAATGCCTATATTTTTAGGAAGTAAAAGAGAGACTAATTTTCTGCTTGGATATATTCTCAGTCGGTATGTTTAAATAAAAGAAAATAACTAAGTGTCAAGTAAGGGGAGATGATAATTACAAATCAAATAAGCACAAGTGACTATACGCAAATGTATCCCAGAGATCCTTTAGGTCATACAGAAAGTATAATACTGTGGGTCCACCCTCTCTTTTGGTTCCCTGTCCTTATGTACAACCAAATTTGTATTGAAAATATTGAGGAACAGGGAGCAATAATGATTAGAGTAACCTTGAAAAGTTTAAGAGGAGCTATAATGTACAGTGTATATGAAGACATGCCTGCTATTCCATTTTACATAAGGGATTCGAGCATCGTGGTGTTACAGAAGAAAGGGAGCAGGGGAGAGGAATCAATCTCTTGTAGACACAGAGGGACTACTCTATTTGTAGTCGTCTTTGGAAACCACATTTGAAATCAGTGACCATCTTAGTAGGTCTGCCTCAGCCAGCTTTTGCTACAAAATCAAATTACAATATTGTTGGTTTCTTTTATATAAGCATGAAATCAGTTCATTGACTTATACTTCTCATTTTTTTCCCCTGACACTTCTATTTTTAAACTCTAGTATCATATTTCTTGTGGAATGACTAGCTGAAGTAGCAGCAGATTCTTATGGATTACCTTAGAAAAAGACTGAATAGATTCCTTTGTGCTGTGTAAATAGTTAATTTTTTCTCTTTTCATTGTTTCCTAAATAGTGACCACTGAATAAGTAGGCACAGAAATAAGTTTTGAAAATACAGGATTTCTTAGGATAAATGGCAGAAGAAGTGACTGGAAAGACATAATGAAATAAGATTGTCTCCTTAGTAACTCAAGCTAATCTAGGAAGAGGAAGGAGTCCTAGAGAAACAAACACTTAAGCATTTGGCCACCAGCTAAGAAGGTGGTTAGAACTCATCTAGATGTTTTGGGCAAAAGACCTAGCATTTGGCTCCTGTAAAGGTTAAAGCCCAGAAAATCCTATAGGACAGTTCTGCTTGGTCACATGGTGTCACGATGAGTTTGAATCAACTCCAAGGTGCCCAGTATCAACAGTGGAAATAGGACAAGAGCACTGAAACTGTAGCTAACAATCAACAAAGATTTAATGACACTTTTCTTTTTTTTAAAACTGTGTATAACCCCGCCCCCCATGTATAAACTGTGTATAAAAATACACTGATTCTTCTGGTTCTACCTTAGCTTGGTTTTTAAAGACATATGCCTGTTTTGAAAAAGGCTCAACAAGATAGGCCACAAATGCTAACAGTGCTTTAACTATCAGTCTAGAGTAGAATTCCTGTGTTGTAATTTTCCGCCTTTACTTAGAATGAATGTGTGCTGTCTGTGTAATGTAAAAATGCAATAAATTCAAAGAAGGGGGCAAGTAGAGTGAAAAGGCCACTATCTTTGACTAATAAGACATCCTTGTCACTGTTTGGAGATTTTATTCAGTAGAGGTATTTATATGGAAGCCAAAAATCTAATTAGCTGAGAGGAAACAAAAGTAAAGGATCTAAACTGTTCATTTGAAAAGGAAGGCAGAGAAGAATGCATGAATTGAACCATGGTAACTGAGTCAGAGAAGGCTTTTTGTTCGGTTTGTGTTGTTAATCATAGGCAGAGAGTTGAAAGTGCTTGTAGGTAGAAATAGGAAAACAAACACACAAAACCCACTACAGCAACCCTTCATTGGGTTTCCAGTGGGAGGAGACTGGCAGCCACCCTCCTGAGGAGTGAATGGTACAACAGAATTGCCAGCCTTCAGATTAGCACCCCAATGCAGTCATTACACCCTACGCTATCAGGGCTCCTTATAAAAATGTTAAAATCCATTGCTATTCAGGCAGCTCTGACACACAGTGGACCTCCACACCTTTTCTGATTACAAGCCATACAGTAGCTCCTTGTTCTATTCAAACAACTGCTTCTTAGTTTATGTACAGATTCCATATGAGCACAGTTAGTGTTCTGAGTTTCCCATCCTGTTCAGTGTTAGCCATCATTTGTTATGGTCCATATAGCTAAATGCTTTTGCATTGTCAATAAAATACAAGTAAGCATCTTTCCAGTATTCCCTGCTTTCATCCAGAATCCATCTATGTCACCATTGATCGACCTATTTCTGTGGCCTCTTCTGAGTCCAACTTGAATTTTTGAGGGTTCTGACACTCAGTGTACTGTATCAAGTAGTTTTTATTAATGTTTTGCAAGATTTTACTTATCTATGATATATTAATGATGTTGTGTAATGATGTCCACATTCTGTTGAGTTACCTTTCTTTTGGAATGGGCACAGTGTGAATCATTGACTAGGTAGTTGTTTTCCAGATTTCTCGTTCTAGATGATTGAACACAACCAGGGCTGCATCTGTTTGCTGAAATACCTCAGCTTGTTCCATCATTCATCTACCCTAATTTTTTTCCCCATTTCCTTCAATACAGTTTGAGTTTTGAATTTCCTCCTTCAATACCACTGGTTCTTGAACATATGCTAGTTACGGAGATGATTCACTGTTAACCAGTTCTTTTTGGCACAGTGACTGAGTGTATCCTACCCATCTTGTTTTGATGCTTCTTGCATCATTCAATATTTTGCCAGTAGAATCCTTCAGTATTGTGACTTGAGGCTTGAACTTATTCTTTAGTTCTTTTAGCTTCAGAAATGCTGAATGTTTCTTCTCTTTGGGCTTTCTAACTCCAAATCTTTGTACATTTTGCTATTACAGTTTGTTTTGTTTTCTCTGCCTGCCCTTTTAAATCTGTTCAACTATCTTACATCATCATTTCTTTATCCTTTAGCTTCACTGAGTTCTGAAGCAAATTCAGAGCAATTTCAAAGTCTCTTCTAATCTTCATTTTGGTCTTTGTTTTAAAAAATGTATTTGCAATGAGTAGATCATTGTACAAAATTCTACCGTATGGTTTCTGGCTTCATTCCTATCACCAAGATGGAAATTTTCAAGTACTGATTCTTCTTTGTTCTTAACTTCTACATTTCAGTCACCAGTTGATAGCAATGAATCTTGATTAGATGCATGGTCAGTTTCAGACCACAGAATTTAGTGGTGGTTTTTGTTAGGTGCCATCAAGTCAAGTACAACTCCTAGCAACCCTATGAACAACTGATTTGAAGCCTGTCCTATCTTGGGCCATCCTGTAATCTCTTGACATATATGAGTCCATTGAAGCAGTCACTGTTGTGGTCCACATGGTTGAAGGTCTTTCTGTCATTGTTCTTCCAACTTTCCTAGTATGATCTCATTCTCCATGGAATAGCCTTTCCTAGCAACATTCCCAAAGTTTGTGAGACTAAGCTTCACCTTCCTTGTGCCAGGGAGCACGTTGGCTGTACCTTCTCCAAGACATAGCTAATTGTTCTTTTGGCAGTCTTAGTCATCAATTCTGTCATCCTTATTCATTGTCCACCTCCCAGATTTTAGTAGGACTCCCAGATTAAAAAAGACTGGGCAACAGGATAGGCCCAACCACTTCTTAAATAGCAGGCCTCCAAAAACCTTATGAACAATAGGGGAACACAGATATTTATAGTATTTAGAGGTAGAGCTCAGACTGGATGTCTATCAAATGAAGAAAAAAAGCTACAAATAGCCTTTAATAGTTAGAACATGAAATGTACACAGTATGAATGTTAGAACACTAGAAACAGTGAAGAATGAAATGTAGTGTATGAACCATTGACATTCTAGGCATTAGTGAAATAAGATAGACTGACTTTGGCCACTTTGAATCAGACAGTCACTAAGTATACTATACCAGGAATGAAAAATAGAAGGAGATGATTTTGCATTCCTAGTTAATAAGACAATTTCAAGTTCTATTCTGAAGTACAGTGTTGTGAGTGATAGGATATTATCAATACACATACAAGGAAGACCTTGGCTGTTACTCAAATATATGCATCAACAACTAAAGCCAAAGAAGAGGAAATTGAAAGTTTTTAACAGATTTTGCAGAAGTTGGTGGAATGAGTCAATTTTGTCACCTTTGCATTTGTGCATATATTGTGTGCATGATTGGTGTTTTTCTCTCACTAAGCCAGCGTTATCTTTCAGGACAAGTTTTGAAATATTCTTTCTTGTGGATGAATGCCACACTGTTGCTCTTCATTTTGTCAGTCTTGGCATGTTGTTGTTGTATATTGTTAGAACCAATTTCCGGTTTTCAGAGGGAGTCAATCACACAGGAGGAAATTTCCCATTTTTCTTCTGCAGAGCAGCTGGTAGATTCAAACTGTGTGCTTTTGGGTTGGCAGCATTCTTATTTGATTCAAGATGGCAAATCCCAGCCTATTTCATCTCACTAATTCCTAGGATATAGATCTTTATGCATTGCATTTCATTTTTTGACAACTTCCAATTTTCCTAGATTTATACATCCCAGGTTACAATTATTAATGGATGTTTGCAGCTGTTTCTTTTAATTTTGAGTCATAGAACATCACCAAAACAGTTCAATAGTGGGAAAATGCGAGTTATTAAGGCAGTGTTTTTGAAACTTCTGAGGAAGAGGAGAGGGTTCGAATTTAGGTCAAATGGTGGCAATGGCAAGAATAGAGATGACATAGAAATAGATCAGGTGGACCTCAATAGAAGGCTGCCATAAGCAGACTTCTTCTTGTTTACCGTTGGGTCAGAAATTACTCATAATATGACCCTCCAGCACGTTTTTAGAGACAGTAAATCTTACAGGAGGAGATGATCCATTTTTCTTCCATGGAGAAGCTGGTGGATTTGAACTGCATGCCTTAGGGTTGGGAGCACAGCTCCTTATCAGTAAGCCACCAAATGCACCATTTTATCCTTGGTTTCCACTGTGATCTTTATAATGCCATCTATTACATAACTTTTTAAAATTTTAGTAGTATAATGTATAATGTATCAGTCTGTTAAAAGAGCTTCATCTTGCTTGGATCCACAGTTAGCATCCATGGTACCAGCAGTCAGGAAGTAAGGAGATGCATTACACTGGGAATATCTGCGGTTAGGCACCTTTCCAAATTATTGAGGAGGAATGATGTCAGTTTGAAGACTAAGATGTGCATCAAATTCAGGCCACAGTCTTTCTGATTACTTGCTGTGCATCTTTGAGGTGAAAAATGAATAAGGATGACAGGAAAAGAATTGATGCCTTTGAACTGTAATGTTGGAGAAGAGCACTGAACATCGCATGGATGGCCAAGAGAACAAACAGCTCTGTGTTGGAGAGGGTGCTGAGTGCTCTTTGGAAGCAAGAGGGTTTGAGGCTTCACCTCACATACTTTGCACTTGTTGTTAGGAGTTGCTGTTTGTTCCTTGGAGAAGGACATGATGCTGGGAAGGGTGAAGGGTCAGCAAAGGAGCGGAAGATCCTTGCCCAGGTGGATTGACACAGTGACTGCTACAATGGGCTCTTGTGTGTCAGGAAGTGTGAGGATGGCGCATGATGGAACTGGGGTCTGATCTTTTGTTCATAGGCTCGCTATGAGTTGTACTTAGCTCAGTGGCACCTAGCATCAACTAAGCAACAACCAGAAAGTGAGCAGTTAGAATTCACCACCATCTTTTCTACCAGGGAAAGATGGACTGTCTCCTCCCATAGAGTTACATAGGCATTACAGTGAGTTGGAATGGACTCAGTGCAGTGGTTTTGTTATAAAACTTACTGTCATTAGGATTTTACCTGCCTAATTCTGCACCAGATCATAAACCCACTTGTAATCTACGTCTTAAACTGTTTAGGACCTAGTATTCTCAGTAAATATGTGAAATACTTATTGAATGAGAAAGTACTAATAGATATAATGTAGGAACCAACAGCATTCCAACCTCTATTCCCATGTGAGTTGACTAGAAAGAGTCAGGAAAAAACCTGCTTTCTTTCACATACATGAAAGAGCAAGTGGTTGTTTTCAAGGTGAACTTTCAAGTTGAAGAGAAATGTATTGTCAAAAACAAAAGCGCAAGATTGTCTAGAAAATGAGAGTCAAGCTAGAAAATCCAGTTAAAAGACTAAAAGTGGTCTTTTTCTAGGACGAAATGGTTTTGGTTATAGACATTTGATAGTAATTCTCAGTAGTGCAAGATCCAGTAGTTAGACTGCTAAATGAGACTCAACAGAAATTAATATTTCATCCATCCTAAATCCAAAGCCTCTCCTCTTCCTCAGAAGTTTCAACAACATTGAATTTCATATGTGAAGAATATTGTAAAATTTAAAAAAAAATTGCTGAACTCTGGTTTCTATAACTATGGAACTTTCACAAATACATCCAAATATGTAATTTCACAAATATATTTATGTCTGCATTCTTGTTGGTGACTTGAGGACAGTTTTGGAATGGGAAGGTGACTTCCCTCCCTGGTAGTGACCCTTATGGAAGTGACCCTGTGGATGGAAAGGAGCAGTGTTGAATGAGTGCAGCAGGTCTCTGCACACCTGCCTCTGTTGTTTATACTTGGATACTGTGTAAAGACGGGATTTACTAAATAAAAGAATAACCCTGTTTTATTTAATAAGAGTTGACTGCATTTTTCTTTTCATTTCAAATGACAGACATGATTCAGTAGCTAGTAGCACATTTTACATAACATTTATGTTGTTGTTGTGTATCACTGAATTGGAACCAACCCATAGCTGACTCTCCTGCGGGTCTTCAGAGGAAGTTAATCTCAAGAGAGGAAGTTGCCCATCTTTGCCCTGTGGAGTAGCTAGAACTTTATACCTAGGACTTATATCTGAAAAGTAGTATTTCTGTTCTCTTTAATAAATGTTTAATTATGAAATTACATATCGATATTAGTTTTATAGAATTTAAATTTATTTTTTATAAATTTTGTTCTCACAGTCCAGAAAAGACTTTGAAAGACTCGCTACAACCCTATGAAGCTGCTTATCTATCAAAATCCTTGTCCCGTCTCTTTGATCCTATCAACTTGGTTTTCCCCAATGGTGGTCGTAATCCTCCTTCTGCTGATGAGCTTGACAGTATCACTAAGACTATAGCAAGGTATGTTCTTTTCAATATAATGGCGTGCATAAAATGCCTGTCACAGTTTTTAGTGAAACATGGTATAGTCATTCATTTTTAATTAATTTCAAATTATTCAAGTAATTAGCCTTCCAATTAAATAAAGCGTTTTCTAGTGAATAAGTGTCCCTGTAGTAAGTACTTGAGATTCCAATTAATAAAACCATTTAAATATAGCCCTAAATATAGTTCCTTATAATTATTCTGTATCTTCTCAAGGACACATAGTGAAATTAACTTTTTATACCATAATAAATTCCTCATATTATGCAAGTAAAAGATGTGTGTGGGGGGGAAATAATCTTAGGAAGTGAGAAACTAAAACTCAGAATTAAATTTTTTTAACCTAGACACAGAAAATTATTCATGGCCATAACAGGAGTATAATTCTGTTTAAGGTGTTCATGTTTGCTTTTTAAAAATCTTTTTAAAAATTTTATGCTGTTGTGCTTACAAAGCTGATAAAGTTTGTATATATTGTTTTTTAAACTATATCTTTCCCCTTTCCTTTCTGTTCCTAAGACTAATGAAAGGTATCCTAGCAGAGGTACCACCTTACTGCTTACATGTGACTGTACAAACCTCTTTAGACATTTACTCTTAAGAGTTACCCACATTACTTTGCAATTAAGCATATGTCAGTTTCTGTCATGAATAACAGATGTTTCTAATAGCTTTGTGCACATGTAGGTGGACATTTTTTGGAACAAAAATAGTGCTTTGGCAATATAGGACCAAAGTGTAATAGAACTGTCTTGTTTCCTTTAGACAACACATTTGCAAATGCATTTCAGAGGTGTGGAGAGCTGAGTAAAATGCTGCTGATATAATGTAAACAAGCATTTCTGTAGCTATAGACCGAGAGTATTTGAATTGCCCAACAATTTAATCCAAAACTTCTCCACAGTTATCCTGTCTTTCCAAAGTCCTTACCCTAGATTTTTTTTTGTCCTAATTTCTCTCTTTGCGATTTTGTTTGGCACTGATAAATATAATCCTAAATTTAGCTTGATTTCTTTTCCTTGTTCTATAGAAGCTTGAGGCTGCTGTAATCAGATAGCATCTACAAGCTGAAGATGCATGCTTTTCCCAGAGTTGAAAAGAAACTAAAATTCTTTGTCAGTAAAACCATATCTCAATATAGAATGAAATGACATTTTTAACGTATGTGATATGCACTGATGTTCAATTCTTTCATTTTTTTTAACTAGGGAATCTGGTGACTGCCAAGATTTGTTACCTTAGTTACAGTTACTCTTCTTGTTTGGCCTTTTCTGTGTGGGATTTTAACTCCTAGTGGTTGTTCCATGTTCTTTGTAAAATACTTTCTTAGCAGTCAGATCAACTCACTGCCATCATGTCAATTCTAACTCATTGCTATTTAATAGGACAAAGTAGAACTTCCATAGATCATCTAAGTTGGTAAATTTTTGCAGAAGTATACTACCAACTGTGCAGCTGGTGTGTTCAAACTGCCAACCTTTTAGTTAGCAGCCAAGTATTTAACAATGGGCTCCCATGGCACCGCAAGCATCAGCCTCAGTCATCAGCCATCCCAGTCGGTGAATTTAAAATTAAAGGTGAAAATCAGCATGACAAAGAAGTGCTTCTATTTATTAAGAATCCAAATTTTTACAATTTTGAGTTCTATTTTATAGCCTACTCTATAGAAAATAGTCATGAAGTGGCAAAATTTGCATGGAAAATAAGAGTATGTATCATGTGTAATTTCTATTTTTAGCCTATGTCCTTCCAAGGTCATCATTTCCATTCAAGAGCTGTCATTTCCTTGCAGATGTCTGTGATATGCAGTGCCTCTAATTGCACTTATCAGTATTAGAAAGAGTGCTGCTTTAAAGATCTGTACACAATTTACTCCTCTTAATCACAGCCTGAACCCACACATGGTGCGCTTTCATTAATGGGAAACTGGTCATTAACAAAGCCCTCTCAAAACCACTTTTTCCTTATGATGTATTTAGGGCGAAAAAGAGAACAATACAGCCATTTCTTGGAAGCCATCATTGAACTCTATAAAAAGAATGATCCCATTGCTATTGAGCATATATGTTGCACTTTACTTTGTTAAAGAATGACATTGCTAATAATTAAAATCTGTTTTTGTTTTCTTCAGTGAACTAAATATAGCTGCTGTTGATGTAAACCTCACTTTAGCTGTGTCCAAAAATGTGGCAAAGACTATCCATTTATACGGTGTAAAATCTGAGCAGCTTGTAAGTGATTTATTTTTTCTGTAAATGTTCATAATATTTGTTTAAAATGATGTATTATACAGTAAATATTAAATTGACTAAATATTAGTGTGCTGGCATTTCTACTCCAGTAAAAGTTTGAAACTATCTCATACAATTTAAATTCATAAACATTTTATAAATATTGCTAAAAATGTCTTTCTGTCTCAATACTGATAAATTTCAGAGTGCAGACAGGTGTTAGAAAAACTTTTTTTTAGACATTTGTGCCCATTCATGAGTTAATTATATTTTTTAAGATCTATAATTGATCAGAGTTCACTCTCATGTTCAAAGCTCCCCTTTCACATGACTACTCGCTCCAGACAGCGTTCATGCACCGTTACCTAGTGTGAAATTGACTTGAGCTGTATGAAAATGGTTGGAATAACTGAAGTGCTTAAAGTTGTAATAGAAAAACGGTGCTTTGCTTTCTCAATTTTAACAGCCCTAGCAGTCCTATGTATAGAAATTTATCCTTAAAGTTATTTTACCTCAGACAGCTGTATGGTTGTTCGCATGTGTGTGTATGCACACACATACATGAGCACCAACATATAAACATACACACACAAACACCTCTGTTGCTTCTCTGGTGGTTTGAATCCACCAGCATCTCCCCAAGAGAAAGCAGGAGAGTCTCCTCCAATGCTGTGAGATATATATGCAGATATGTGCAAATGTATATATGTATATTGCAGTTATATATAAATCTGAATCATAATCTCAATTCTGTGTATCAATAATTTAAAGTCAAGCTTACGTATTTAACTTTTATATATGCATGCTAAGAAATCCAAGCAAAATAATACTTTTAGAAAATTTTATGTATTTTTATAAAGTCATATTTTTAACTGTACTTCTTTTAGAGACTTTTCCAAAATCTAGCTCCTTCTCCTTTCTTCATAGGGATAATGAAACCTATTTCCTGTTCAGCCTCCTGTGCTCCCAGTGAATCACTATAATAAATGAAGTAGTCTGGTTTTGCCTAATTCAACTAGTTTCATTTGGTTCTAGAATAATTTTTAGAATATCTTGGAAACAAATTGAAATAAATGAATATGCATAAAATGATCCTTGAGAAGAACAGTTATTACATAAGATTTCCTACTTTGAATTCCAATGGATGGCTAGATTATGTTTATATAGCAGTATATATCTATTTCACTTATTCTTGAAGTTTTGATAAGTCAGAAGCATTTATAAACGTTGTCTCTTCAACACTGACCACACAAGAAGATTATGAAAACAGTTTGTGAGAGAATTGGTTTTCTATCTCCGGCACATTTCCAGATGCTTTCTTAATAATGTCTTTGCTTTAGAACTTAATATATTGCTATAAATAAAATTCAGTATTATGTTCAATGGAATTCGTTGTAATTACTGAAAATGTCAGGGAAAAATCCTTATGAAATTATTTCATCTGATAATAACTCTATTAGAAAGAGCTAGGCATTCTCCTCCCATGTAATTAATGCCTCTGACAATCTACTGGAGGGTCAGCTATGAGTAGCTTCTGATTCAGTGGCACACAACACCAGCCGTATGTGTAGGAAGTTTTTGTGGCCGAGTGGTGCTTCAATACCAAGGTGTGTGTTTCCAGTCCATCAGCTGCTCTGCGGGAGGACAATGAACAGTCTTCTTCTGTGCACTTACTGCTTCTAAAAACCTACTGGAGGGTCAGCCATGGGTCACTTCCAACTCCACAGCACACAACCACCACCACATGTATAGAAAATATTTTGGTTTTAAGAAGCAGAGGTGTGATTATAGTAACATGTGACTTCAAATAGGGTATAATGGAGAAAAACTTTGATAAAATATGTCAACAAGGGTTTTATTTAACAGATATGTTGATAAAATAATCTGTGACCCTGAGTTACTTAGACCTATTTCGGTTTGGCACCAGTAGCCAGGAAATTAAAAGACGTATTGCGATGGGAAAGTCTGTTGTTAGGGAACTTTCCAAAGTACTGAAGAGCATTGGTGTCTCTCTGGAGACTAAGGTGTTTGAATCCACCAGCATCTCCCCAAGAGAAAGCAGGAGAGTCTCCTCCAATGCTGTGAGATATATATGCAGATATATGCAAATGTATATATGTATATTAAGGTGTGTCTGATATAAGCCATGGTCTTTTCAATCACTTGTTATGCATCAGAGAATTGGACAGTGACCAAGGAGGATGGAGGGAAAATTGATGCCTTTGAGCTGTGGTGCTGGAGAAGAGTATTGAGAGCACCATGAATTGCTCGGAAAACAAACAGATTCATCCTGGAAAGGGTTAAACTGGGTGGCTCCTTGGAGGCAAGGATTCTGAGGCTCCGTATAACATACTTTGGACATGATGTAAAGAGAGACTGGTCCTTGGAGAAGGACATCATGCTTGGGAGGGTGGAGAGACAGCGCAGTAGGGGAAGGTCCTCTATGAGGTGGATTGATTCAGTGACTGGGGTAATCGGGATGGGAGTATCAGAGACAGTGCGATTGGCACAGGACAGAGTGGAGTTTAGGGCTGTTGTACTTATGGTTGCTATGAGTTACAAGCGACTCAATAGCACATAACAACAATAACAATTCCTGTTTGGAACTCTGGTGGTGTAGTGATTTCACACTCAGCGGCTGACTGAAAGGAGGTTCTAACTCACCACCTGCTCTTCAGGAGAAAGCTGGGATAGTCAGTGTCCATAGAGATTACAGTCTTAGAAACCTGTGAGGCAGTTCTTCCTTGTCCTACGAGTTCACTATTAATCTGAAGAAAGAAAATATCAAGTCTATAAAAGAAAGACTTGAAATCAGTTTGTAAAGTAGAATAGCTAGATATTGCATCTGTACATTGAAACAGCTTGAGCTTTGATATAACTAAAGCTGTACATGATGGATTTTTTTAATAGATGAGAAAATTTAACCCTCAAGTTAGAAAAGTGACAGAAATCAGCTCATTATGGAATGTAGCAGTTCAACCACTGCTGTAAAAGAAGCTGAAATATTACAGCAAAAATGCTTTCAAAAGGTAACTGAAATTATGAAACCTGAAATGTAGATTGAACAGCCTTCCTGAATCTCAAGTTCTTTTCCTATACGTTAGTTACAGGCGTTTTAAGGCTGTCAGGACATTTTTGTTGTTATGTGTCGTTGAGTTGAGTACTCCTCAGAGTGACACCATTGGAACAGCAGAGCTGAACCTCCCGTATCCCGTGTCATCCGCTCTATCTCGAACACACTCAAGCTCATTGATGCAATCATTTTGTCAATCCTACTTGGTATTGGCCTTTCTCCTTCTGCTGACCCTCCACCTTTCTAAGTAGAATGTCTTCCTCCAAGGACTGACCTCTCCTAGCAACATGCCCAAGGTTTGTGAGACAGAATTTCACTCTCTTTGTCTCCAAGGAGCACTCAGGTTTCACTTCCTCTGAGACAGACTGTTTCTTCTCTTGGTAGTCCATGGGATATTCAGTACTCTTCTCCATCATCGCAACTCAAAGGCATGTAGATGGTTTTCCGGTCATCCTTAGTTCAACTCTCAAATGCATAGCAAGCAATTAAAACTAAAGCTTGCATCAAGTGCACCTTAGTCTCTAAGCTAACATCATTACTCTTTAGTACTCTGATATACTTAATTTATAACTAAAATTCTCATAAGAAAAGGTTCATTTAAGTAGTTTTATGAGTCGTATTTAGGTCATCTGCACGCCCTTTGCAAGTGGGAGATAGTGAGTATAGGGCAAGTTTCCTATCTATTTTTCATAGGGTCACTTTGAGTCATAGTTGACTTGATAGCACATAACAATCAAAACATTTAAATACTGATTCTTCTACATGCCTTGGAAAACTATTTCTTTTAAGCTTCATTATTTTATTGTTGTACATAAAACATTAAATATATTGTTTTGTTGTTGTTATGTGCCGTTGAGTCACTTGTGACTCATGTTGTTGTTGTTGATTGTCTTGAGTCAAGCATGACTCATAGCGACTCTATGAACAAATGGCCTGAATGTTTTTTATGACTATCGATATTTATCAAAGTTCATAGAGGCATGAGTGACTCATAGCGACCCTATATATATTCCATATGTAGTAGAACTTTGATAAATGTTGATAATTATAGAAAGGCTTCAAGCCTTTTGTTCATAGAGTATGAGTCATGCTCAACTCGAAGGCAATCAAGTGCTATTGAGTCGAACAACAGCAAAGTAGAGTATAAAATATATTTCATGTATATACAAATATACTTCAGTCAATTTGAAATTATGATGATGGTGTATTATTATATTTCTATAAGGCTTCTCTGTTTTTAAGTGCCAAAGGTATATTCTCTATCAGCTTAAACCTCATGAGGAATGAATCTTTTTCCCTGCATCTTAAATGAAATGAATCAGACTAGATTTCTTTTCTGACTCGATTTTTAAGGGTAAGATAGGGCCACAAAAATAATTGCTATTATTGAGAACCTTACAGTAAGTTAAGGACACTCAGGTGATACAGTCTGGGAGGAGCTGGGCTGCTAACCCCCAGGCTGCACCTCTCTGATGGTTCATATCCACCAATGAGTCCTTGGAAGGGAAGTCATTTCCTCCTGTACAATTTACAGCCTCAGAAGCCTGGTGGAGGGTCTCCTGAGTTAGTTCTGACACGACAGTAATGCGTACAAGAAGTCAGGGATTGTGAAGAGCTATTGCCAAGCACTTTGGAGCTACTGCAGATTGAGTTGTCGACCACCACAATAAACTGGGACACAAGCATATTTTGGCTTCCCAGTACATACAAAGTCATGTTTACACTCTCCTGTAGTCTCCTGAGTGTGCAAAAGCATTAGGAAAAAAGGTGTGAATGTTGTGCAAATTATCAAAATGTAATAGATAGAAAAGTGAGTGTATTTTCTTTTTAAAAAATCGTGGCCCAAATAAAAATGGTGCTAATAAACTTGCTTGATACTGAGTTGCCACAAAACTTCAGTTTGTAAAAAATGCAGTATTGGCAAAGC